AAAAGAAAATATATAATTATAAACAATTGACATATTTAAAAACAAAAAGTAGAATTCTATTTATTTTGTTTCCATTGCCAAGCATAGCTATATTTTGTTATGTGTAACTGAAGAGGTTAAAAAAGTAAAAGTTGGATTCTCTAATTTTAAATTATTCTTTGTAAATATCATGGTTGAGGAAGCTTCAGGAATAATTCATTTTCTTTGGCATACACAAAGAATTAAAGTGCTGTAATTAATGCTGTTATTGTATAAAGGGAGAGCAGTGGTTCATTACGCAATTAATTAGTTTCTTGGCAGATAATGAAATAATTTACTCACATAATCAAGGAGATGATGCCAATTAATATTCCTGTGTTTGCTATTTGAGATCAAGTCTTCCCCAATATTTTCAACCCTTTGTGATTATTCATGAATTCCTCTGTCAAAAAATCACTAGACAAATAATCATGCTCTACACAGATGTTGATTCAGAGAAGTGGTATTTTCTGAATTTGGTGGTTATATCTGTGTGTGTTTACATATGTATGGTAGTATTTTTCAGGAAACTAGAAAAGTGTCCATTTATTTATTTATTCATTTGGTATATGGTCTCGTAACGCAGTGTGGACTCATAGTGATCCTCTTGTCTCAGCATCCCCATGGCTGGGATTACAGGTGTGCACCATCATACCTGATTTTGGTGACTGTCTTGGTGTGGGGCTGGCATGGAAGGTGGTCCAGGAATTGAACCTGAGTTCTTGAGCTTGCCACATAGGTTCTTAGGCTGCTAAGCTCTCTCCCTGGCCCAAAGTGTCCATTATAGAACATCATGAGAAAAATCTTTTTATAGCCACTTAAAAAGATATTGTAGGTTAAAGTGGCCACTGGGTATTATCTTTACCTGAAGACCTTTTTCTATCATAAGTGACTTACCTAAAAAGACCTATTAGTACAACATGCATTTTAAACAGATTAACTAGATACAGCGAAACAAGGACAGAAGTCTAGATGTAACTTATGTAGATTATGCATTAGACATTGGGTATTTGTCTACTGGATTTTTTTTTTAAGTTTTTCACCACTCATAACAAATACCTCAGAACACATTAATTTATAGAGAGGAGGCTTATAGGCCCATGGAGACATGTCATGGCTAGAGCACATAGCACAATAAGCTGCGTAGCTTATTGTGTGACACAGGAGACAGAAGAGAAGAAAGAGAAAAGATCCAGGGTCCCATGATCAGCTTGAAGCACACTTCTTCAGTGACCAGAAGACTTCTCCTAGGCTCTACCCACTGATAATTTCCACCACTTCTAAAAAGTGCAAAGCAGGTAACTGAGCCTCAGATATATAAAGGCATATGATGTTTTAAAGACAAATAAAGAGGAAGAAGTTACATGGGATATATAGATAGGGGAGTATCTTGTGCAAAGTGGCTGGGCAAACTTCTGACCTATGTGCAGTTGACTCATTACACTTTCTAAGCAAATCAGACAGTGGTGGGAAGAGAGGTGGGTGGACCTATCCACTAGAAGCAGGAGCCAGTGGGTGAGCTTCTTGATTCCTAGTATTATATAAAGCCCAGGCTTTCATTATGTGACAAAACAAGGCTGTTTCCAAGAAAATGTACTTTTGTATAAGAAAAGGGTGGGCAAAGGAAGGCTTTTTTTCCCCTCATTCCTTCAGCATCCCATAAAGTTAGCCAAGAACTTCTTTCTGTGTGATAGGTGGATGCTAAGAAGTTAATTTCAGGTTTATGGTGAAATATTTTTGGTAGGGATCAGTACTAGTATGAGATTCTATTATGATGACTTCAAAACTGAGCAAATAACTTGACACAGTTAGCATTAGGACAAAAATTCTCGACTATAGTTAGTATAATTGGTACCCAAACCTTAGAGACAGTAAGAGTCCTTGTGGTGGCAGAATAATCTTCAGGGTCTTCCACCCCCAGTACCTGACATAATGCCTTTGTAGGCTGTTTTACATTGCAAAAGCTTATAGAAGTTGAGATGGGGAGATTACACTGGGTCATCTGGTGGCCCAATCTAAACATAGGTATGAGTTAAAGTGGAAGGCGAAAGAATCAGCCAGATGTGTAGCAGAAAAGAACAGAGGAAAATTAAGAATGGGAGAAGAATTCAGCCTGTTTTGCTGTCTTTGAAGACAGAATAAGGGGACCATTAGTTAAAAGAAATGTAAGCAGCTTGTAAAAATTGGAAATGGCTCTCTGCCAATGTAAAAAATCCTCAGTGCTACACCCACCAGGAGCTGAAGTCTCCCTAACAAACGAGGAAAAGCATTCTTCAGAAAGGAAAACAGCACTGCCTATTCCTGGGCTTTGGACTTTGGAGTCTGTAAGCATAAGTCTAGTTGAGGCTGACAGACTTCAGACCTACACAAACGGAAAAATAAATACATGTTATTTTGTGATAATCTATAGTAATAGAAAATGAATACAGCACTCATTGAAAGATATTTCTTATTAAGAAGTTGGCATCTGACATGGCTACTGTTGGGTCTCAATTTTTGTTGAAGTTTAATTTATAATTAATGGGAAGAGGTCTGAAGAGCACCGAACATCAACAACAAAGATTTGTTCAGCTACACTACATGTCAAGGGCTGTTCCAGGAACATAGCTGACACACAAAACAGAAATAGACAAAAAGCTCTGCCCTTAGGGTTCTTAGACTACATTAACTTAAGAAAACAATACATAGTGCTGTAAGGTGATGAAAGCTTAGAAATAAATAGTAGGAAAAGGATGGAGGGGTACTTCAAGATGAAATTTTAGAGTGTACTCAGAAGTTGACATTTGGGTAAGTATGCGGTAGGCAAAGTTACTGATCAAAGAGAGTATGGGGCCACAAAAGAAGGCATTTGATGATGTAGAATGTGCCTAAGGAGAGTCACATGGAGAGAAAACATTTTCTCGGGCTTTCACGGAGAGCAAACTGGTCAAGCAATGACTGTGACTCATCCACATGGCTGACACTGACAAAGGATCTACAAACTGCGGTACAGGGATTCAGGATACTGACCTTGTCAGAAACAGAAGTTACATTTCTTGTTATATAGGTCCTACTTTATTTTGGTCTTAACCATCCAGCAGAAAAGTATAAAAACAGGTATAAAAAGTAAGTCATATTAATAGGCTGAGCTGTAAAAGGCTGAAATCAACAATTTCTGACATTGCGAGTCCTATGGATAATCCACTACTGTTATGGACTACTGGACTATATTGGAATATTTTGCTGAATTCACATACCTACACTATTTAAATGGCAAGGGAATACTCTTCTCTGACAAAACTAAACAAAAAAAGAGGATACAAATGCAGAACCATTTTGTATCTGTATATACAAAATATTTAGGATAGATATACAGCCACTTTCTCTTAATTCAATGAGAAGAAAGATTTGTACTAATAGTATTTGGACAAGATATCATGTCTACATCTTGTACTATGAATAACCACTACAAAGACAATGATATGCAATATATTAATTATTGAAACTGTCCTACTACTTGGTTTTGAAACTGTCTCATTGCTATTTGTTTCTCAATAAAATTAATTAAAAATATGGGGTAGGTAAAGAAGTAAATGTTGAAGTGGTGGGAGGTCAACCCTAAGATCTAGCAAGAGCAGGCAGTATGTTATCCATAAGAGCCAGAGTGGAAGCTCAGGTCAGTCAGAAATCCTGGGAGATATGGCATTGCCAAGGACTTAGGCTTTTGCTCAGAGATTGATGGGAACTTGTTGTGGATTTGGGGCTACTGCATTAAGAAGAAATGAGACTGCATTATGTGTAACCAACTTGTATGAGGAGTGAGAAGCAGAGTACCCATATACACATAAAATTAGATGCAGGGAGTTTATTAATTATAGATAGGCAGCAGGAACAACAGAAGTTAAGATTCCTTGTGAACAAATCCCCTGGGCTTAAGAAAACTGGTAGGGCAGATGCAGCCCATTGCACATAACCACTTATACTGCAACTGACTCACTCCAGAAGACTGCCCATCCTATACTACAATCCCCCAGAGTGCATGATACGTAGGGCTAAGGTGCAGAAGCACCTCTCATTCTGGTGAGGGACTGGAATGCAACACAGTCTGTTGTAGCCTGTCTCTCTGTTTGTCTCAGGATTTTGTGACTAATTCCAGCATATCCTACAGTTAGCCTTGAAGACTACACTCAAGTGGACCTGGCAGAGCTCGATGGCTCCAGTGCGGCCTAAAGAAGTGTGCTGTGGGGTGGGGAAGGAGGGTGGGAGGGTGGGAGGAAGACAGAGAGAGAGAGAGAGAGAGAGAGAGAGAGAGAGAGAGAGAGAGAGAAATCCACATACTCAGAGAGAAAGAGAAACACACATACACAGAGAGAGAGAGCAGCGACCAAGAGCGAGAGCGAGAGCAAGAGCAAGAGCAAGACCATCTGGAGACGAATGCAATAATCCTGCTTGGACATGTTGTGGAGATGGGTTACAACAGTGGGAGAGGGGGTGGAAGAACAATGGAAAAAAATAAAGAATTGGGAGACTTCTGTTTGAGATGAGTATTAGACTCCAAGATGTTACAGAAATTATGGGTAAAAATTCAGGATCTTGAATTTGTTTTGTATGTCATTTTCTTTCACAGCCATTTTAAAAAATCTTTGGTGAAAGTGTAGCTACTGCGATGACATTTGGAAGGACTGTTCATAGTGGCTTCCATGTCTTGACTGCTATCACTGATCCACTGAGATAACCTGAGTATTTTAACTTTGCTAATCAAAGGCTCCTATAAGTTGGCTCCTGAAGGGGGTGTAGTTGTGTAGAATTGAAGAGGGAAGGCAGATGAATTTTGTGACTTTGCACCCTAGTCACATTGTCCTAGTTTCCTAAATTACCATGTGTACATTTTGCTCCAGACAGTGACCTAAAATTTTGAAAGCAGTTGCTCTTTGTTTTTCTGTAGTGTTTGTTGTCTGCTTATTTTTCTTTGCATTTTAATTTTTTTTCTCATCAGAGGACAGTTGTTCCCCAGAATGGGATGGACTCATCTGTTGGCCCAGAGGAACACTGGGGAAAATATCAACTGTCCCATGTCCTTCTTATATCTATGACTTCAATCATAAAGGTATTGAATTTTCTGAAATGATTAATTTGAAGCAGAAATTTGTCCTTTTTTTGGGTAAAATATACTCAGAAGGAACTGAACAGTCTTGTCATCTTTCATGTCTTTACAGGAGCTGCTTTTCGACATTGCACTCTCAATGGAACATGGGATTTTATTCACAGCTTGAATAAAACATGGGCTAATTATTCTGACTGTTTTCTGCAGCAAGATATCATCAACACAGGAAAGGTAATAGAATTTTTTAATATTTTTGATTTTCTAAGAGAAAGCAGAGTAATGCTTTTATGTATCTCTTTGCATTTGTTTTTGCATTTCTTGATTGTCAACCATAATAGGTTAAAAACTTTCAGTGACACAGAGATCATAAAAGTTAAAGGAAGGTTGGAGGACTTTCAGATACATTTGATATTTTCCTTAGGTTAGAGTTCCCTGGTAAAGATATACACATATGTATACTTATTTATGTATGTGTACTTTGTTACAGTGTGTTATGTTTATATCATATTCTGATATTTCTGATAT